CACGAACGAGGTCCATGTCAATATCGGCGGCTGCCTTAATCAAGGATGTCTTGAGTGACTCCAAATTGGGATGAGGCTTTGAGCACGCCTTTTCCTCCAAGTGTTGCCATATCTTGTAATCTAACGGATTCAAATCTGGACTGGAGGAGGGCCAGTCTTCGTGCCGGATGAAGTCGATTTCACGCGCCGCCAGCCAGTCTTGTGTGCTCTTCGCTCTATGAGCTGGCGCCGAATCTTGTTGGAATACCCAGTGCCTGTTATTGAACATGGTATGAGAAACAGGTTCCACAAGGTTCGTCAGGACTGTATTTTGATACACAACTGCATTCGTTTTTACACCTTTCTCACAAAAATGTACCTCTGTTAAGCCCCAATAAGAAACTCCCAACCATACCATGAGCGAGGATGGAAAATGACCTCGTTGGACACGCGGAATACGGTTGCTCGCTTCTTCACTACTGTGTGCGTATACCTTATCATTTTGTTTGTTGTAGCTCTCTTCTACGGTAAAAATTTTTTCATCCGAAAAAAGAATTTCCCGATATTTTTTTCCCGCGTACCGCTTCAACAAAGCGCGGCATCTCTTCAGTCTCAGGTCCATTAGACGAGCATTCAAACGATGTCCTGTTTTTCTTCGATATGCCCGAAGCCCTAAGTCTTCATTTAACTGCGATAGACGACTGGCCGCGCAGATTGAAGGCCTGTATTCAAAATCACGGAGGTCATTTTGAATAAACTTTAGTGTCATAAGAATCTATGTTTTGTTAAGTTCATTTTGGTATATGAATGGTTACATAATGAATAAACTTGTTTCAATTATTTTACATTAAACATGTGACAGAATTTATGACCTGACTATGTATGTATAATAACATCCATTAAATAGTGGAGAAATCAATAATAAATTACAGTTTCCGAAGCGAAGCGAGGGCGGCTTGCTAGTCTTCTTTTTCTAGTCTAGTCTAGTTTTTTCTTTCATTTTGTACCACTTTGTAGTTTCATTCGGCAGTGACTATTAAAACTACAGTTCGTATACGTAAAAGGCTGTCCAATTTCGACTTTCTCTCTATGTTTACTCTCTCTCTCTTCCCAGCTATTTATCCGTCATGGTGGTGGGGTCAGCTTTCCTGACTTTACTCCTCCACTTCGCTCTGTCTTCGACATCCTCGTCAGTAACATTGCATTCTCTCTTGTCCTTCAGCACTACGTCCCTCTCTATCTATGTTTACTATGGTAGTTTGACTATTTTAATAATTAAATGGCACATCAACATCGCATGGAATATTCAAATATATTGTCGGAGGCCAAGACCCGCTTCGGGGTCATAGGGTCATACAGTGGTAGTAGTATTTTTTCCGGACCTTTTGGCGCCCCTGTGTGAGTAGCGCCCGAGATATGATGCCTCTTTTGCCCACCTCGCAATGCCATTGCTTGAGGCACAAAAAAAGGTACGATGCTCTGTTTACCCATGCGGCTTCACCAAGTAGCCCAAGGTGGCTATTATCATTTACAATTCTCTACAATTATCACACGCATCCTTGCGAGTATTATACTTAAAGAGTTGTCCTTTCCGCGCACGTCGTGATGTGGGTACGCGATAACGAGTCTATCGCGTTTCGTTCGTTATCACCTGTGTCATTGTGTTGTAGTTTGACGTGTGTTTACATACTGTACAATTATCTGCAATGTATTCCTTTATGATTAGATACCAGAAGAAATTGGGAACGTTTTCATAGAATCGTAACCTTGGCCTTCATTATTTTTTTGATTCCTAGCTAAGCTGATGGTCTTGAGAGACCATTTCGGCGTAGCCTTAACTAGTAGGCGAGCTCACGGGGCTCAAACCTGACGACGTTGCTAATACTAGCCCTAGCAAGAGCAGTGCTTCGGAAACGCGACCCACTGAGAAGATCCGGTGAGAAATTCAGTGGGCTGTGTCTGTGGGTTAATTTACTCGTCGAGCCCTTCGTCGCAAGCGAAGGATTCGAAGAGAACGATGACCGGTAATTATTTTATCTTAATACATGGATTAGGAAGAATTGTCGATTGTCAACCGCCTTAAATAAGAAGTTCATCAGTTTGGCCGTAAGATCGACCTTGGGTAATAATAAATAATGGGACTAATAATAAAAATATGCCTGCGATTCATGAAAACCGAAGCAAAAAAACTATAACAGTCATGTATTCCCATCCCCTATCAATACTCCCGACCCCCATAACACAGAAGAAAACCTTAACTTGAGAACTTTTAATGTTTAACATTCATCGGATTTCTTCGGATATAGTTCAGTAAATCATTGCAAACACTTTATTTTTTTACAATAAAATATATCATTTATTTACTAAAAGTATCTGCGTTTATCGTCGGCAGCGTCTTGATGCCGCATCTAGACACAATCTTAACTTGGAAATTCTTCAGATTAGCAAACAGTCTCTTCTGTATCTCCCTGATGCAAACTTTCAATACTTCGTAAGCTTCTGTTTGCGATAACGCTGCGGAAAAGATAAACGACAGGATATCTAAGTGTGGCAAAATGAAAATTAAAAAGGAAAACATTGCGGTTTTGCTATCTTAATTGCGTACTAATACAACAATGTTCTATTTACTGGTGGTAGGTCGTGTTGTGAGTCCGCGCGGGTAGGTACCACCGCCCTGCCTATTTCTGCCGTGAAGCAGTAATGCGTTTTGATTTGAAGGGTGGGGCAGCCGTTGTAACTATACTGAGACCTTAGAACTCTTATCTCCAGGTAGGTGGAGGCATTTGCGTTATTGATGTCTACGGGCTCTGGTAACCATTTGACGCCAGGTGAGCTGTGTCCACCCAATATAGCAATAAATATACATGTTCTTCAAACTTACTTGGTCTGTAGAGGTCATCCAGGATACCCAAGCTGATGATGCCTCCGAAGCCGTGGACAGCGTACGGCACTTTGACGCAAGAAGCCAAGAAGTCCAGGGCGTATAGTGCACTGCCTGTGTTCCTATCATAACCAGCTAATAGCATATTCACCATCGTAGGATTCTGTAATTAAAAGGATTTTTTTATTGCATACACGTATGGACGACCTCACAGCCCACCTAGTGGTTACCGGAGCCCATAGACATCTATAACATAAATGCCGCCACCCACCTTGAGATATGAGTTCTAAGTTCTAAACACTCAGTTTTTATAGTAAAACGGCTACCCCACCCTTCAAATCGAAACGCATTACTGCTTCACGGCAGAAATAGACAGGGCGGTGGTACCTACCCGTGCGGACTCACAACACGTCCTACCACCAGTAAATAGAACATTGTTGTAGTAGTACGCAATTAAGATAGACATCTATAACATAAATGTCGCCACCAACCTTGAGATTCTAAGTTCTAAGTTCTCAGTGTAGTTACAACTAATACTTAAAGCTTCGGAAGCTTCGAAACAACTGCTTTAAACCTAAGCACTGCTTTGTGGTTAAGTTAAAATTAATTGCTTAAATCTACCATTTAAGCCGTGGATGGTCATTGCGAGCACTTGTTATCCACACGTGAAGCTACCAAATCGAGTATAAGACAGAGAAAGTATTAAGGAAAACGGTCTAGCAGATTTTTGTAATTAAAAAAATCTCCTAAAAACGCGGCGTTTTTACCAAATCCGAAGTCTCTCAAGACTGTTTTCCATAAAATTCGTGTTTACGACTTTCTTCGGCGTATAATTAAAGTTGTTTAATTACTTTCATAATTAAAATGAATCTCGGATGGTATTAAACTTGTCTACTAGAGGAGATCACGTTAAAATTACTGAACCATGAACTTTTATGTCTCCGAATTAGGTTCCTACATTCATTCATTACTGCTTGCTATAACAAGCAGATCATAGCGCACGTGGCCAAGTCATTCCGAAGCTGTAAAATCGCGAGGTTACTGGCCCTAGAAATAAATGTATTCTTAACAGCAGATAATATCGGCAGAACTGGGCGTTTTTAGCATGACGTGGGAGGAGGTAGAATAGACTGCCCAAGACCGATACAAATGGAAGAATTTGATTCGAGCCCTATACCCCAGCAGAGGTTAATAGCAAAGAAAGAATAAGAATAAGATAATATGGACACAGAAGTTCACTCGATGCGTCGATTACTAATTAATTCCAGTGGTTGTGACGAATCAGGGCATCATACACTTTTGTCTTCAGCAGCTGAGGTCGCCTCGGCAACGTTGCTATTCGAGGTGACATGGATATAATCTTCCCTGCGTATTGAATTCCATACCCTCAGCCATCAATGGAAGAGTTCTCTTAGTCATCCACCTACAATTTTGAAACTTCTATTTCACAGCGATTTTACGACGTTGTTGAAAGCACCATTATGCCAACAGACAATCACTCGGGAACAGTCATCATTGACAATCTAGCAAGAGTGTGAGCAGTCCCAACACCCCACTGCAGATCTTTTACTCTATATCATCGATAATTTAGGAAGAGTGAACAGTCCCAACACCGCCACTGCACATCTTTTACTTCAACGACGACAGAGTTCTTCCTTGAAAATCTTTTAAGCCGCTTTTCTAAATCGCATTCGTTGTTAAGTAACATCATTCGCAATCTTATATACCTGATTTCTTACCGACTACCGTGAAATGCTTGAAAAATCGATCTAAATGTGGCAACAATACGTTTCTGTACACAGAGAGTTCATTTGTTAATCCATCCACAGATATTGCACGATGGAAGTGACTTTATACAATGGTAGAACACCAGCCAGATGGTCACATCTGGTTAAGGAAGTAGTTGGTAGCAATCTATACTATGCGGTCCATGTCACGAATGATCGAGCACTGTGGAGGAAAGTTGCATGTGGTCGCAATCCTCAGCAGTGAGGGAACGATGAAGAAGAAGATACGTATACATGGTTATAAATTTTTGGGATTTCATTTATTGGAGGCAGGATATGATAAAAACCAATAAGAACCTCAATTCTGCTAATTCTGCCGAGAAGCTGTCCAACGTTTCAGTTTGAAGAGTGAGACAGCCGCATTAAAATACAATTAACGATTTTGCGTTGTGATGTCTACGGACTCCAGTAGCTACTTAGCACGAGATGAGCCGTTATTTCGTTTATCCATGATATGAAGCCCCGAAGTAACCAGAGTGTGACCACTAAACCGATTAGCCGCCACTAAACAAATCTGTGTATTTAGTTTTCCAATCCGAAACTAACGCCATTTTTCAAACTATCAGACAGGGTCCTCCTTGTGAAATGGACCACGGCAGGCGTGTCCAACTCGTATCCGTTCTTCAGCTTGTACAACTGCAAGTTCTTGGTAATGTACTGCTGCAAATGTACCGCATCAGCGTGATCTCCTATAACTCCCATTACAAGACTATCCGAAATGTTGTGGAGCTTATCCTCGTCTGTAAGAAAGAGGAAGAAGTCGTTATCATCTTTCTGTGGGATTCTAAATAACAATGACCTCATTTTCATCATAAACTTAGCGATTCTGTGAAGTACGCATTAATGTTCGCCTCGTGAGATCTCACTTGACTGGGCTTTAGTCAGGCTACCTAACAGAAAAATCAAGTATGGCAACTGCGGCCTCCTCAAAATACTCTTACGACTTGCTCATTTTCAATCTGTAGTGGTCCATATTCAGACGAGGAGGACCTTACATGGTTACATCTTCCAAGTCAGTAAACAGAAGGGTCATACACAAGTGTGCGACCTGAGCCTACTCGGCTACTGCTTCCCTACCATCAGTCCGTATGGTTGAGTGTCCCCCTATATTCTTTCTCACTTTCTTTTTTTTATTGCTTAGATGGTTGGACGAGCTCACAGCCCACCTGGTGTTAAGTGGTTACTGGAGCCCATAGACATCTACAATGTAAATGCGCCACCCACCTCGAGATATAAGTTCTAAGGTCTCAGTATAGTTACAACGGCTGCCCCACCCTTCGAACCGAAACGCATTACTGCTTCACGGCGGAAATAGGCGGGGTGGTAGTACCTACCCGTGCGGACTCCCAAGAGGTCCTACCACCAGTGAAATACCCTACTACCCTACCTCTGAATACCCTATACAGGGAGTATTAAAGCATTTCCGAACCACCCTGACAAGCCGTTAAATTCTGACACGATAAGAATCAACAATGATTAAATATATTGGGTCTTTATCTACGAAATTGCCCGCCGACAAACTCTTCAATGGTATTTGGCATTATCTCTCGGGTATTGAATTGTTTCCCTGTGAAGAAGATGTCCAAACTTTGGAAAAAGTAGAAGTCTGTCGGCGCAAGGTCTGTTGAGACCAGCAGTGGATGATTTCCTTAGTTTAACAAAACCCTAGCTATTGTAGGTTAGAGACCGTCTATTGTGCCGCATGAGATCGATCTTTGTCGTGTAGGGCCAGCAAGGACGAGCGATTAACTAAGGCTAGCGGGAAATACACAAGCTTGTCCATCATTGTGTCCAGTTCCTCACAGTAAACATCCGCAGTAACGCTGGTGCCATTTGGCAAGAAGCTGAGATTAAATATACTGGCACTAGACAACCATTCAGTGACTCTTAACTTTTTGAGGGGTGAGTTTTCGTTTGAGGCATTGCTTAGGTGTTGAAACAGGTCTTAACCAACATGATAAGGTTAAACCACAAATGATATTCACAAATGCATTATCTCTGTTCGTGCATAATGAAAATGGCCTATAAATAGGCAACCTTGCGACAAAACCGCGATGCAGGAAAAGTAAACGCATTATTATCTCGACGCGACTCGTTGTGAAAACACATGTGTGTGTACGTCACGCAAATCTGACCTTGGCTTCATAGATCACGGGATCAGGTATGATATTTCGTTGTCACGATCGGTCAGTCACTTCGGTAGATTCGAATTTATTATCTCCATCCGCTTAGTAACTTGTGTCAGGTGATAGTGTCATCATATTCCACCAGCTAAAAAAGATAGCTGCGGCAAAGCAAGTTCTCGAGCTACGCAAAAGTAGAATAGTATTTTTGAAGATTCTTTTTTGATTTCATAGACGGGCGAGCTCACGACCCTCATTACGTGTACTGAGGGTCATGACTCCCCCACTGCATCAATCTGGTTAATGGGTTATCGGAAGCCATAGACATCAGGAAGTTAATGCCGCCATCCTCATTGAGACATGAGTTCTAAGACCTAGTCCTAGTACAACAGTTTCCTCAGCCTTCAAATCGTAACATATCACTCCTCCGTCGCCCAATAGACAGGGTGGCGGTACCTCCCCATACGGGCTCATAAGACGCCCTACCACCAGTAAATTAGATAAATAATTGAATCAAATAAACCCTGATACATCTTTTTAAATATAAATTCACAGACGTGTCCATCGCTTTGTGTGCTCTCGTCGAGATAGTTGTTAAAATGAACTCAATTGACAATGTTATAAGACTGTTAGTTCTTAAACGAAATCTGTATGGACGGGGACTCATATTATTTTGTCCTCGCAAAGTTTATACTTAGCAAAAATATGATATTCAAATACGCCAACCAAACATACATACATATGTACTTAAAGCTTAGAATGTAACCTTGTCCCAGTTTCGCTCCAAAGCTAAAGCGTATTTCACCAAATACTTAGTGTAAAGGCTTTAAGAGCCCGTGGTACCTTTGAAGTCATGTGAAATATACTTTAAGTAAATTATTAATTACTTTTTATGACCACAATTCCCAAATCAACAATGACTAGAGTTGTTCCTAATGTTAGTACTAGTACGCGCTGAACTTAAATGAGGTTTGGTTTATAGCACTAACCAACTGAAGCTAGTTGCGATGGATCTCGCAAGTACACTCAAGAGCAAAGCTTATTCAAAAACTTGAGCTGTTTCCATATTTATGAGCACTGCTCATAGAGTAATGGTAAATGGTTACAATAGCCGATGGTTGCCTTTTTTTTCCAACCTATTCGTCGATAGCCTAAGAGGCCATTCCAGCTACGCCCAGACGGGTAGGTGAGCTCACGGGCTGAACCTGAGAGAATTTGCTAACACTAGCCCTAGCAGAAGCAGTGCTTCGCAGAACCTACCACCGGATCGGAAACGCGACCCACTGAGAAGATCCGGTGAGAAACTGGGCTGGTTAATATAAGAAACGCGCGATCAACACAAACATGAAGTCTTACTTACCGTCGCTCATGACGATAATACTCTGTATATTTGTCTGGTCTGCGGCTACCAACACGAAGTCCTGACACTGAATCCCGATGAGACATTGTAAATACAAAGAAGTTGAAGGATTCGTCATTTAGTATATAAAAAAATTAAATCATCCAAATTAAGAAAGAGAAATTAGCAAAATATTCGTGTATAGCATGCACTGAAGTATATAGGTCTATGATAGCATGTCAGATTGATTAGACATAGACAAACTGGTTGCTAATAAAACTTAAGAATAACACGCGTGGTCTATAGACTCTGAAAGAAAATTTTGGCGGTAAAGTTCGGTCTTTGTTGGCTCCAAGAAGATGGATTCAATTTTTAAACAAAAACTTTATTTTACGCACACTACTTAATTAAATAAAGCATTTTTACGCCAATTAAAATTGCAGCTGTTATTTTTTAATACTTTCCGTGTTGGATGATCAGTGATTTCTTATTTAGTAGGTACAAGTAAAGATGAGGAATAGTCTTCCGTAACTCTTTTAAATTTGTTTCACAATTTGTCATCCACACAATTGATCACAATTTAATCATTTACGTCATTATAGCACTCTTAAAAGATTATCTTGTCTTTTTCATAAGAATCCCTGGGAGACTCTCATGAGTCGAGCGCTATATTGTTTCTCCTTATCTCGGCCACAATGGCTAATGGCATCATAGGCTTCGGGACGCAATCCTTATCTTGTGGATTTAATTCTTTCGTAAGGTTCCGTTGGGGATTATTCTTTGAATGAAGTTAATTAAAGTCTCTTTTTATCGGCATTAATGTTAGTCAGTTCGCGAGTTCATAGACAAACGTATATATAATATATCAACGGTTCATCTTGAGGCATGTATCCGAAATCCCCATTTTATTAGGATAAATACCGTTCGACTTTTAATTAGAACCCATGATTGCTCAACTACGGAGAGGAGCAGGACGATGATAATAATGGCAGTAAGAAACTATCCAATCACTTGTTTTGGTAAAAAAAATGAACTTGTTAAATGAGAATACCATAGTTTATTTATTTATTTCAGGGTTTTTTTGCTTACATGGGTGGACGAGCTCACAGCAGTGGTGTTAAGTGGTTACTGGAGCCCATAGACATCTACAACGTAAATGCGCCACCCACCTTGAGATATAAGTTCTAAGGTCTTAGTATAGTTACAACGGCTGGCCCACCCTTCAAAGCAAAACGCATTACTACTTCACGGCAGAAATAGGCAGGGCGGTGGTACTTACCCGTGCGGACTCTAGAGGTCCTATCACCAGTAGGGTCGCAGGAGTTTGATGAGAGAAGCTGAGGATCTTGCTCAATGGCAAGCCATTGGAGAGGCCTATGTCCACCAATCAATCGCTATGGGCTGATGAGGTGATTTAATTATTTTATTTATCAATAATATTTACATTCGCATCTGTTTTTTACAGTTCCTGAAGATGTGAAGCCATTGACTGGAAGAGTCATAAGTGCGTCTTCTAGTGTTAAAAAGAGACAATGCCGGATACTCTGTCGCTGACGGCCGGTGTCAGCTTGGGTCTGCTGGCTGGTATCGTGTCGGGAGTTTGCTATTTATATGCCAACGGACTCGCTTGGTCTGGGTAAGTTATAGGCTGTATAAGTTATTAGAGGCCCTACAATTCCCGTCAACATTATGTTCGATTAAAGAAGTTTTTTTATTTATTGCTTAGATGGGTAGACGAGCTCACAGCCCACCTGGTGTTAATTGGTTACTGCAGCCCATAGACATTTGCAACGTAAATACGCCACCCACCTTGAGATATAAGTTCTAAGGTCTTAGTATAGTTACAACGGCTGGCCCACCCTTCAAACCGAAACGCATTACTGCTTCACGGCAGAAATAGGCGGTGTGGTGGTACCTACCCGTGCGGACTCACAAGAAGTCCTACCACCAGTAATTACGCAAATTATAATTTTGCGGGTTTGATTTTTATTACTCGATGTTATTCCTTCGCCGTGAAAATCAATCGTGAAAACTTGTTAAGTACGTATTTCATTAGAAAAATTGGTACCCGCCTGCGGGATTCGAACACCGGTGCATTGCTCGATACGAATGCACCGGACGTCTTATCCTTTAGGCCACGACGACTTCAGAACACATTCACAACACACAACACGAAGTATCATTTCTGTTCTATGTTCCTAGATAAAAATTCAGAAAATGACTTCTTCTAACAAACTCGCTCACCGTCATTTCACTCAAAGCGATGTGATTGTCCTAAATTTGAATGAAGCAAAATATTCCCTTTTTTTCTTAAGAATTGAAACAATTACCATTGTGATTACAGTGGATCTAGCCCAGTGAGTTTTTTGCCAGATATTCCCAATGGGTCGGAATTTCGATCTCTTGATATGGTAGATGTTAGCAAATTCGTTCGCCCACCAGTCAAGGCGAAGCTAGAATAACCCTTGGAGCTTACTGAGAGATAGGTTAGAAAAAATGAATACAGCACAGCACGCGTAGCAAGGTCCAGCCTTCTTAATTGAAAAATATGAAGAAAATAATTTTAACTGCGCCATCTATTATTCTATTTTAGAACTACAGTCGCCTCTCAGCTAAACGTTTTTATTTACAATAATAGATGGCAGCTCTAAACTACACTAGTATTTAATCTTATGGTGCTTACTTAAACTTTTGCTAAGAAAACTACATTTTATAATAGTCTGAGACTATAATGAACTCTGTAACTTCACAAAATATTATTTTGTCAAGTTCAATCCCCCGTCCCGAATTAAAAACATCTAATTTGCAATAATACAAAGTATTTCACCATAAAATGATTTTATTCCATGTATTTTTAGATATAAATCACGCTATACACATTACTTACCACCTATTTAATCGTAATCAAAGTATGCAAACGCTACGCAAAAAAGTAAGAGTGAACTAGACGTTTTAGTTCTCTTCCTACGTTTGATAACCTATTGTCACGTAAGTCAAAGATAAAAATCAAAAAAACGAATAAAACACTAAAAGTTTTCGACACATCCGTATCGTCTGTCACAACAAAGACAACACAAATAAATCTCCCATTCAACGACCGATTTTTTCTTCCTCTCCAATACTGACTTTTTTTTTCTTTTTTCCGCCTGCCTATTCACTGATAGCCTAGGAGGCTATTCCAGCTATGAATGGGTAGGTGTGCTCACGGGGTCAACCTGAGAAAGCTTGCTGACCATAGCCCTAGCAAGAGCAGTGCTTCGCAGAATCTACTACCGGTGTGCTTAGTGCGAGTTTTTTAACGTTCTCGATAGCGTAAAAGTTAACGCAATTTTGTATGCAGCGTATTTTTGAACAGCGCGCCTAGCGGCAAACGTAGGCAAACGATCCTATTCCATACAAATATGAGCTAACTTTTACGCTATCGAGAACGTTAAAAAACTCGCACTAAGCACACGGATCGCTAAAACTCAAGAACGGCTGGACCGATTTGACTAATTTTGGTCTAATTATTTGTGAAAGGCCAGAAAAGGTTTAAAATGTAGATAAATATGAAAATGCTCGGAATTAAATAAAAATAACAATTTTGTTTTCCCTTTGATGTGTCCCCCATCGGATGGATTCCTTTTGTTTGTTTTAAGTTTATTTTATACAAAGTTTAGGTCTTTTATTTATCGATTGAGGCACTACGAAGTCTGCCGGGTCAGCTAGTCATGTTATAAAAATGAACATGATTGATGATATTGCAATAAGGTGCCTATGATAAATGCACATTATTCTGTTTAAATGTGTCTCTATTTCACGTGACATTTTTTTATTCCCCTTGTAGCCAGCATACGGCCCATCTGATGGTATGAGTCACCGTCGACCATGGAGCTAAACCGCTGCCTTAAAACGACAGAACATGAATACCTATCGGTACGAGAGTATCCGTGTTTGTGAGAAAAAGACAAACTTTCAATTATAAGTATTGTACCTCTGTCAAATTCAAATCAACGCATGGCTACTTCGCGACAGAATTAAATAAGATCGCTGCGCATACCCGTCCGAATTCGAAAATACTTCCTACCATTAGTAACTACGCAAATCTAAAAATTATATGAAGTTCAACTTTATTGAAGTTCTTCTTTTAGTTGCGTGCTTGGGAACGAGTAGATCACAGCGTCTTGGGCAACAAGTCATAGACATCTGGCAAAGTTGCACTATAATAACACATAATTTACTTTATTGTTAAGCGTATTTATCAAGATTTGTGGCTACATTTGTTTTTTTTTCCTACCTATTCTAGAAACCTCGAGGGGTTATTCTAGATTCATCGAGCTAGTAGGTGAGCTCACGGAGCTCAAACCGGGAGTGTTGCTAACACTGGCCTTAGCACTGGCCTGGCTGTGTTTACGGGTTAATATACTCGTCGAGCCCTTCGTCGTAAGCGACGGCTTCGGCGAGGACGGTGACCGGTCCTTGAGGTTCCTAAGCAATGGATCGGGAGGATCCGTAATGACATGGGCTACATTTGTACAAGTATCTATATTTTGCGACTAAATTTAAAAAAGACTGATTTATGAAATGTTGTATTCATAATTTATTTTATTAAAATACGTCAAGGAAGGATAGGTTCGTAAGTGCGTGCATAAGTACATAGTACACAAGACTTTTGAACCAGTTTTTATTCATTTAGATTTATGTATTTAGAAAAAACTGTCAAATAAATAAATTAATACGAGGTTAAATTGAATAGATACATTTTTATTATTATTTTCCAATGCATTTCGTACCATGAACAGGCGTCTTTAGACTAACAATAGATAGAACGGATAGTGATGCGCCGCGGACCGTAACGGGGTGACCGGCGAATGTTTTATTTCGATTTTTTAATTTGAACGCGGCACAGACTAATCTTCTAAAAACGTAGTGTATACTCCCTCATTTTGTAACAAAAATAAACACAGCTTTAAGATTACAGTAATGTCTAAACAATTACAATAGTGATAAATTTGGTTTCGGGCATTGTTCAAAAACAAAATTTTGAAGTATTTTTTTATGATTGAAGGATTACTGATGGCTTTTCCAGTTTCACCAGAACAGGTGGGCGAGCAAAGGCTCAGCCAGGAGAGATTTGAAGTCGTCGTGGCCTAAAGGATATATGAATGAGGCCCGGAGCATTCGTATCGAGCGATGCGGCTGTGCCGGTATTCAAATCCCGCAGGCAGCTACCAATTTTCCAGATGAAATACGTACTTAACAAAATCATTATACTTGTAACTATACTTGAGACCTTAGAACTTATATCTCAATGTGGTTGGCGCATTTATGTTGTACTTCTTTCCTCCATGTTGTAGATGTCTATGGGCTCCAGTAACCACTTAACACCAGATGGGCTGTGAGCTCGTCCACCCACCAAAGCAATAAAAAAAAATCAAACTCGCGAAACTATAATTTGCGTAATTACTGGTAGGACGTCTTGTCAACCCGCACGGGTAGGTACTACCAATACTAATGGCAACAAGTCAACCTTAACTATGAAGAGATTTTTAGCTAATCTAAATAATAAACAGTATAAATATAGACGGTATAACTGGCTGGGTAACCTACCAGAAGAGGCTTCAGCAGCCTGGAGATCTAAATAATCTCCAAAAGGACTAGGGCAGAAGGCAAGGGGAAACCGCTACGACTAATCTTCCCAGGAAAGTAATTATGAAATACAAGCAATGAGTGTTTTACGGTTTACAAAGTCTTAGCTGCAAGTCCAACGATGTTATTTATGGCGGTATCGGAATCCTATTAACCGTTTTTCACGCTGCACCGGGCACCCCGCCATGTGCGCACCGTTATGACAATATGTCGTCACTTCCGGCTATCCGCCATGTGGGCAACCGATTATTTAGGAAGTTTTACCGACGATTATTAACGAGCTCACACACCAACTATAGAGACCCCACAGACATTTTTGTGTATAGGAGCAACTTTTTCATCCATAAAACTGGAATAACTGCGACTGAAATAGGCAGCACAGTTATGATAAGCACCAACCAGTAAATGTTATTCGAAATAGAACTTCAGGAACAGAATCAGAATAGCATGTAACCGGACACAGTGACGTAAAATACATAAAGCTTTGGAAAATTTTGCGCTAATGATGATAAAAAAAGTAAATAGCTTCAGCTCTTGGATAGCGACGCCAATAACGGTGTAAGCACTTGACAATATCTAAACACTCGCTAATTAATAAGATATATCCACTTAAGCTATGCAAGACCTTTGAGATTAAATATAATGAAAACTTCAAAGGAGAAGAGATCGATTTGCCACTAATCTAACACATCAAATACTGTTTTTATTAAAATGGATAATAATATAATAATAATAATAATTTCTTTATTTACTACATAAACTCTTAAATCATGACCTAGAATACTATTTACATATTTAACAAACTGAGAGATTACGCAGATGGCATCAACAATATAAAATTAACCAATGATCCTCACACTAGGCATAGCCTGTATCGTGAGGACCAAAATGCGATTTACTATGTATATAATTGACCTCAAAACGACATCACTATTATTAATAATTATTACGCTCAAAAACATGCGTTACAAGATTTAACATAATATAATATAATAAAAAAATTTTGAG